ATGCCCCTCCCCGCTCTGGTCAGTGACAGAAGCAATGACGGTAGCTATCACGTAATGGCTGGACAGATGCCAGCTGTACCTTCCGTGCATTTCCTTCATTCAGTCTGCCCAGCAGTGCTGTGAGTTGGGATCATTGTCCTCATTTAGCCAATGACAAAACTGAAGCTGAGAGGGGCTCAGCGTCATGCCCAAGGTCACAGAGCCATGCAGGGGCTGAGCTGACCCAGCCCTCTTTTTCAGATTATGGGGATTACAGGTCAGACCCTGCCCCTCAGGCTTGTTGGAGAGGAAACCCTGTTTTTGTCAGCCCTGGGTGGCCTCCCTGGTCACTCTGCTATCAGATGTTGGGCAAGGAGGTGTTTGGACACACCCGTACCATCCCCAAGCCGAGCCAGGCTGAGGAGTGTGTGGCCTCACTGCAGTGAGCAGCTCTGGCTCAGCCCTTGCAGCAGGAGCTCGGTTCGTGGGCACACGTGGGTGGGGTGAGGTCCACATTCCTCGCACAGCCAGTCTACAGGAGAGTGTCCCCACCAGACTGGGGTGTGAAGTGGGGCACAGCAGGCAGCCCTCCCTCAGCTGGGGGTGTGTCCCCAGAGTCTGGGTGTGGACTGGCTTGGTTTGGGGACCAGCCCTCAACAGCGTGGCATCATGGAAATGAGGGACTCAGAGCTCAAATACCTGCCTTGAGTCCTGGTTCCCCTATATCCTGACCTCAAGCAAATGACCTAACCTCTTTTGGCTTCACCTTACCTCAGTTTCCTTCTCTGTGAAATGGGGTTGCATGTTACTGCCTTGTACACCTTCCTGGGGAGTGCTGTGGACTGTGAAGCCCCGTATAGACTTGAGGGGAGGGGATTCCTTTCTGCAAGAGAGCTGCGTGGGGGCCGCTGGCAGCTCCACCCCCTCCGCCCTCCCAAATCTAGGACTGAATGAGCTGTGTAAAGTAAGCGGGACCTGGGAGCAGCCATTAGAATTGGCTATTGGGAACTTTTCTCTAGAGCACTAGGCAGCCCACTCTATGGCCTGTCTTGTCTCCCTCCACGAAAAAAGACACTCTGTAGGTAGGGGTTCTGTTCCCCTCACAGGTGGGGAAACTCATGCTTGGGGAAGGTGAGGGCAGATCCCCCTGCCCCCTCCACCCCAGCTCCAGCGTCCTCAGCGATGGGGCGGGGGCCCTCCTGGCAGGCAGTACAGTCTAACGTGGGCATGCAAGCCTTCATCCGCCCCAGGGCCTGTGTGTTTGTTCACTCATGTAGTAAACCTCTGTGAGCTCCTCTATCACAGGCCCTGTACGGGGCTCTGGCTGCACAGATGAAGCAGGCCCAGCCCTGGCACCCAGGAGACACTGGCACAGAAGGAAGGCCGGGTGAACAGACACTGGCTGCGGTGGGACTGGTGCTGAGAGTGTGCGGAGAGGGAGGCGTACCGAGGGAGGCCGGGGATGGACGGCAAGGAGCAGATTGGAGCTGGAACTTAGCTGGATGCTGAGGCTCCCTGCTGGCCCTACCTGGGACTGGGTATGAAGGTGGCAGTGGTGGCATCTGACTGTAGCTTTGGCATTCAACGAGCTTCTGTTGGACCCCTCCCAGCCACAGCCAGGGCAGAGGGGTGCTGACTGCTGAGCCGTGAGGGCTGGCGGAGGCCGGGAGGTGCCCAGGAAACCCTTGCCTCCCACCTGCCAGGCAACCATACCAGGGCTGTTGTCACAAGGTGGCAAGCCTCTAGGTGGTGTCCTCAGGAGGGAGCACAGCAGAGTGCAAGCAGTCGAGAAGATTGTAGAGTCCATCCTCCCTACCCCCATTGTACAGATGGGGAAACCGAAGCCCAGAGAAGTGAGGTGACTCGGCCAACCTAACACCTCGATGCCCCAGGCCCTGCTGCCACTTAGCCTGCTGCACAAGGTGCCTGCTCCTGGACTGCCCCTGAAGGAAGACAGGTCATCTGTCCTGCACCCCCATCCCACCATCCCCTCCCAGTCTTCCCCCGCTTTGTTGTGGGGAGAAGGAACAGGGGACCTGCAGCGTAGCGACAAGATGCAGTCCTGGAAGTCGGAGCTGAATTGAGCCCAACCCTGACACCCTCTAACCTAGTGACCTTGGCCATGTCACTGCCTCGAGCCATTTTTATCACCATCAAAATGGGGCAGGCCAGCTCCTGGGACCCAGCTCTGTGGTCAGCCAGGCCAGAATCTTGCGGCCAGGAGCCAGCTGAGCGGTCCCAGGCCAGAAGAGCACAGTGGTTGCCCCCTCCTGGGCTCCCACAGGGGTGCCTGCCACTCCTCAGTGGACTGTGCATTTCCCACTTCGTGGCAGAGCTGGCTGTGGGCCGTGGTGGGGACCAGGCTGGGTGAGAACAGTCCGGGTGGTGTGGGAGAAGCCTGGCTCTGGCCGGCATGCTGTGGGGCTTGCGGGGGTCCCTCACGCCCTCTTCTTTCTGCCTGGGTGAGAGTTGGACAAGGGGGCCTGCAGTTCCTGCACTTGGCCCTTACCTCGTTGTGAGAGACCTCTGCTGAGCTTAGCAGACCCAGGTCTTTACAGTTGTTCGGGTGGAGGATATGATACCAGAGTGGAATCACTGTGTTCCCCGCCCCCCACCCCAAGCAGGAGCGCTCCACACAGTGGTGATGAGTTCAGCCAGCCGACTGGCCCTGACACCAAGGCAGGGGCTTGCCCCCAGCCCTTTCTTTAAGCTCTCCTCAGGCTGTTGGCCTTGAGGTCTTGTTTGCAGTAGGAGGTAGGCAAATACGACAGTGTCTGACGTCCTTCCCTCCGGTGCCTTCTTTCCCCTGAACAGCGGAGGTGGAGGCCCCCAGCTCCTCCCTCCAGCCCTGCCCCCATCCCAGTCTTACTCGGCCTGAGACTTTGGACTGAGGAGCTTGTTAAAATGCAGGTTCTGATTCAGCAGTTCCAGGCTGAGGCTCCAGATCCTGCATTTTTAAACAGTTCAAGAGACCACACTTTGCGTAGAAAGGTGCTAGAGTCCATTCTACCTTCTTTCCAGCCAGGGCACCCAGCCTGCCCCAGACCCAGACCCAGAGCAGGGACTCGCCTTCCCCTTAGCTTACTCTTAGCTGCCCTGGCCCCTGCTCCAGACCTTGGATCAGGAGTGTAGGACTGCTGGGGCCTCACTTCCCTCCCTCATGTTCCTCCCCAGGCCACTCCCCACTGTTGGATGGGTTTACCAGGTCCTGAGCACAGCCCACCGTTGGGCCGAGGTGTCCCATGGGTGCTTGGCACCTGCTGTGAGGGAATAGGAGGTGCCCTGGGTGGGGGGGCAGGAATCCTGGATTCTGGCCAGGCTGCCTGGACAACCCAGTGCCAGTCAGTACCCTTCTCCTCAGTCTCCCTGATGGTCCAACCGGGCAATTCTCGGTCGCTCCAGAGGGCCCTCGGTCCCCAGGGTGGGTTGTCAGGAAAGTGTGGGGGTGGGAAGGACCTGTGACGTAAGGTTTTTATAGAGAGAGGGTGGAAGAGCAGTTTTGGGTGAAACCTCTGGAATGCCTCTGTGGCCCAGCCTCTTCCAGTGCTTTTGTGAGCCACATACTGCTACCTCATAGGGGCTGCTGAGCACCCAATATGCACCACACTCTGGGGACATGTCAGGGAGCCCTCCTGGTCTTGCCTGGGGTTACAGTAGTGGTCAGACTGGTGTCTGAGTCCTGCTGTCCCAGGGTCCCTCCTGCTGACCCATCAGACCAGGTAAAGAGGACAGGACTGTCTGCCTTGACTTGTCTGTGTTCCGCCTAAGAGTCAGAGTGGTTGTTGACTTCCAGCTGATAAGAGTTCTGTCTCTTTCTAAACTCTGCTGTGACCTTGTTGCTCCACAGATTTTGAAGAAATGCAAAGGCTTGACTGTGAGCCCCTAAACCCCTCTCCCTCCCACTCCCAGAGGTAGGTCAGGATGAAAGGTCATGGACCCTTCAGGACAAGATTATGACTTAGTGCGGAGGGCCTTGCAGAGTGGGTGTGTGGAGGAATGTTTAACTAGAACACAGCAAGCACTCGGTGAAGATGTATTGAGCGAGCGGTGTGCAGTTGGGGTTCAGCAGATGTGGGGTTTGAAGTGGCCCCTCCTTTGGCCCAGCTTCTGGAAGGAGTGGGGTATGAATTAGGACCCTCAGCCATGCTCACTTCCAGTGCTGCCTTTCTTGCTGTCACCAGGCTTTCTGGTCCCACTGTCCCTCGGTCACTGAAGTTTAGGGCGTCATCCTCAGGGCACAGCCACAGAGCTAATTAAGTGAACACATCTTGTCCTAACTTCCAGGCTCTGCACTTGCTCAGTAGTGAACGTGGCAGCAGCCCTCGGTGTCCCAGGCTGCCTGAAGCTCCACACCCAGCAGGTCCTTTGCAGAAGCAAAGCTCTGGCCTGATTCCTCTCTGAGCCCCGAGCTGAGGGCTCTGAGACGGAGCTGAAAGTGTAAATCCCTCTGGAGGTGCTAGTGGCTGCGGGCTTGGTGGTGTTGGGGTTTTGGGCAACAGTGCTCAGAGCCTTCAAAAGGGTGTCACCCCCTAAGGGTAAGGGGGATAGGGTGGGGACTTGGGGCGCTCAAAGTACAGTTGGAGAAAAAAACATTGCAAATTGGATGTTGAAACTCTGTCCTTGGCCTCGCAGACACAAATATCAAAGGTTAAATATTTGTACTAGATCCAGATAAAGGATAGGGATAGGTGTTCGGTAGGGGTGGCAGGAAGGAAGAGAGCTGGCAACTATGGAGAGCCTCCCCCAGTCTCTTTGGCTACCTCACTTGGTCTACAAAATGATCCTATGAGGGTACACCATTCCCACTGGGTAGGTATAAAAACCGGGGCACAGGGAGGCACATAACAGCCCAGAAATTGTAGCTACTGGGTGGCAGGGCTAGGATTTGAACCCTCGTCTGTCCAATTTTGTGGTCCATGCTCTTCACATCTGGGAAGGTACTTGTGGGAGGTGGGTTGGTGGTGGGGACTCTGAGTCTGGAGGGAAGGGGTCAGTGGGCTGACGTCTCCCCTCCGCTGCAGGCACTGGCTCCAGCATCCTCTCCGCCCTCCAGGACCTCTTCTCCATCACCTGGCTCAACAGGTCCAAAGTGGAAAAGCAGCTGCAGGTCATCTCGGTGCTACAATGGGTCCTGTCCTTCCTCGTGCTGGGTAAGCTGGGCAGGCAGGGGCCACCTCCTCAACAGAGGTTAGAGCAGGAGCTCAGGGGCGAGGGCTAAGAGCATCTTCCCACTTACCGCCTTTTGGGCCCCAGTCCAGTGTTCTACCCCTAGGCATGCACGAGGGCTCAGTGAGTTTCATAAATATAGGAGGTGGTGATATGGTTCCCCTTGTGCAGGTGAGAAGTCCAAGTCTCAGAGAAGGTAAGTAATTTGTCCAAAGTCACACAGATGTGAATCCAGGTCTGCGGGGCCCTGAAGCCTCTGTTTTCCCCACGGGCCACCCTGCCTACCGACATACGTTTTCTGGCAGGTGCATTGCTTCGCCTCAGGGTGCTGTGATGCTGGGTTTGAGTCTTGACTCTACCGATAACAAGCTCTGTGCCCTTACACAGGTGTCTGAAAGTTAGTTCCCTCATTTGGAAGGTGAGGAAAATGCCGCCTAATTCACATGGCTTTTGTGGAGATTCGAGATAAGGAATGAGAGCAGGTAGCACAGGGCACTGCCACCCTCCTCCTGCTGAACACACGCCCTGGCTGCCTCCCACAGCCCATCTACTGCCGCTCCCTACCCTCTCAGCACCTTCCACACCTGTGCTTCTGCAGGTCCAGGTTGGGGCCCTCACTCCCCGGGTTGCTGTCCCGACCAGGGTCAGGACATCACGGGCCGTGTGGGAGGAGGAGAGGGCCTAGGCCCGGGCTGGGCCCTGCTCTCCCAGCAGCCTCTTCTCCTTCCCCAGCCCCTGTGTCTCCAGCGTAATAAGTGGCTTTCCCAGCGCGCAGGCAGACAAACCTGCTGCGGAGGAGCATAGAGTACATTCCAGGGCACATGGGCGAGTCCCTGCGGGGGGGCCCCCCTTCAGGACTGTCCCGTCTGATGGGACTATCAGGAGTTACCCTGTCAGTGAGGAGCAGCCGTCCTTCCAGGATGCACGGGGGCTTCTGAGACTGCGTTTCCCAGGGCGGCAGTGTGCAGCCCCTTCCTCCCTGTGCAGGGCAGAGGGATGGGGCACGGGCGCTCTTATCAAGCCCCCGACAGTGTACCTGACACTTACTGAGTTTTTCCTTGACTTCCTGCTTCTCAGGTGAGGAAATAAAAGCTCACAGAGGTTCCATGGGGCTGTGCAGTGAGACCCTAAAACAGCTGGTCTTCACCTTTAGGCCCCAGAGGGGACTTTAGGGTGTCCATGAACCCCTAACCTTAAGTGCAAAATTATATGTGAGAATATATGCACCCTTTTCTGGGGTCAAAGGCAATTACTGTCCTCATATTCTTTTATTTTAATTTTTATTTATTGATTTTAGAGAGAGAAATTGAGAGAGAGAGAAACATCAATCTGTTGTTCCATTTACTGAGGTGTTCATTAGCTGCTTCTTGTATGTGCCCTGACGGGGGATCACACCCACAATCATGGCGTATTGAGACAGCACTACAACCCGGCCACAGCTGTCCTCAGATTCTTACAGGGACATGTGGCCGCAAAGAGATAAAGAAACACTGGTCTGGGGAATATAGCAAGTCAAACTGGTTCCCTCAGGGCTCAAACCCCCATCTTGACCTGCATTCGGCTACTTATTTAGAATCTTGGAGTACAGAGCACAGCATAACCCCTCCATTTTCAGATAGGAACCAGGAGTACAGTAGAGCCTTGCCCAGAATCTCATGGGAAGGAAGTAGTGGGACCAAGAAAAGACCCCACAGAGTCCAGTCACCCAGCCCCCTGTCCCATCTCATGCAGCAGCTCCCATAGTCCTCATTTGCATGGAGAAGCTGCCACTTTCCCATCCTAGTGGGTCAGAGCGTGGCTGATGGGGCACTCAGCAGCTGGTGGAACCACAGCCCATGCAGCACTGACAGACCTGGCCCTGAGCGGTAGGTTAACAATCCATCAAATCCGACCACAGCCCAGAAACTGGCCCAGCACCTTCCCAACGCCCTCGTGTAGGTGGGAGCCCAGCCTGGTTGGATGGGCAGGTCTGCTGAGCTGCTGCTAATTATTGCCCTGAGCAGCCCAGTCTCTCCCTCCCACTGCCGCCCGGATCTGCTGGCAGAGGCTCTCCTAGTGCTGCAAAGGCTGCTGTGGCCCCAGCAGCCTCCCACTGGAACAGCGAGACTTTTCCCCATTTTTCTGCCATAGACTCCTCTGGCATGCTGATAAAGGCTATAAACTTTTCCCAATGCTTTCAAGGGTGTAATACAAAGTACATTGGATTTCAGAGGTGGCCACTGATACTAAAAACCGATGAAATTTAAATATAATTATGCACACGTTAAGAAATCAAATTAGCCCTGGCCAGGTTGCTCAGTTGGTTGGAGTATCATCCTATACACCAAAAGGTTGTGGGTTTGATCGCTGGTCAGGGCACACACCTAGGTTGTGGGTTCGATCCCCAGTCAGGGTGAATACAGGAGTCAACCAGTCGATGCTTCTCTCACATTGATTTCCTCTCCCTCCCTGTCTCTCCCCTTCCCTCGTCCTTCCTCTCTCTCTCTAAAATCAATGAACACATCCTCAGGTGAGAATTTAAAAAAAGAAGAAATCAAATTAGACATATAGTAATCCATGTGCTTTTTAAAAAAAGATTTCAGTTATTTATTTTTAGAGAGAGAGGCAAGGTGGGAGAAAGAGAGGGAGAGAAACGTCCATCAATGTGAGAGAGAAATATCCATTGGTTGCCTCTCACAGTACCCCAACCAGGTGTCTAGCCCACAACCTAGGCATATGCCCTGACCAAGAACTGAACCAGCAACCCTTTGGTCCACAGGCCAGTGCTCAATCTACTGAGCCACACCAGCCAGGGCTGCTTTTTATTATTACAGTAAATAAAAAACTCTAGCAGCAGGAGTAATTGTTATTCTAATTCTTAAGTAGTGATGAGAATAAATGTTTTCAAAGTATCTGCAATTGCTACAAATGTGATATAAAAACACCTTTGTTTTCTTCTTTTTAATAGACATTATTTTACTTTTTTATGTATTGATTCAAGAGAGAGAAGCATTGATTTGTTGTTCCACTTATTTACACACTCATTGGTTGATTCTTGTATGTGCCCTGACCAGGAATCAAACCCACAACCTTGGCACATCAGGGCGATGCTTTAACCAACTGAGCTATCTGGCCTGGGCCAATACCTTTGTTTTCCATTGGTGTCACTGACAACAGAGCTGCCAATACTACTGTGGTCTGTTACATTAGTAAATGAAGGAAATACTAAATTTCCATCAGAGATGGGTAAAAATTAAGATGTCATTTTTTTTTTCTATCCAAGTCCATGGATCTTTGGATCAGACACTTAACTGTGTGTTAAGTCCTCTTGACACATCATCTCATGTGATCTTCCCAACCCCCTGTAAGGCGATTGAGGGTCGGGGCGGGCTGTAACCAGTGGGCGGAAGGGCCGGGGCTTCATGGAAGAGCATGTCCATGCCCTTCACGGGGCTCTCTGCTGCCTCTCGGCCCTGCTCACGGGCCTCGGGGTCCTGAGCCCTCCACACGTGAAGCCAGCGGGGCCTTTGGGCAGTGGTTACATCTCACGGACCCCACAGCCCTCACGGACTCTGCAGTGCTGGCTCCTGTACAGCCCCGTGACCTACAGGGTGGAGCAGGGAGCAGAAACCAGGATTGTCTCTGAGAAAGGAAGGTCGATCAGGGTTTAGTTCATTTTTTGCTCAGTAAACCTTTCCTGCGTTGGTTGCTGGGGCTAGTGAGGTTAATCTGACCCCATTGCAGCTCCCAAGGAGCCCAGGGTCTGCTGGAAGGAGTCCGATGGGGGAGGCAGGTGATGAGTGCGGTGAGAGAGGATATGGACACACAGGGATTAAGGGGAGTGGGACCCCCAACCACCCGGCTGAGAAAGTCCTGGACTAGAATGCAGTCTCCAGACTCTCCATCTGTTCTATGTTGCTCCGTCCAGACTTAGCACCAGAGCGAGGATAATAGGTAGGGATTCCCACCTGCCTCTGCAGAGAGCCCAGACTTCTAGGGAGGGCCCGGGGCTCAGCCTCTCCAGTCCAGCTGCCCCCCGGGAGAATTAGGGGTGTGATGGCCGCTAGGTTTCCAGGCTGCTCAGCCCCTCACCTGAACCTCACGGCCCTGCCCAGGCCCGCCTGGCTTCTTTAGGAGCTTGAATACCTGCCGGCTCTTTCCCAGGCCTAAGAAAGAGGACCAGTGGCAAACTGATGGACAATGTGAGTGACTCTGTAGATGGCCTTAACTTAGACATGAGCATTCACCAATGGCCTCAAGTGCCTCACAGTTTGCCTTTGACAGGGTTTCATAGACTGCTCATGCTTCCCTGGAGACTCGTCTTCCCTGTTTGTGACGTCACAGCCCCGAGCTGGTCCTGCCCAACTGGATGCCTGGCCACTCAATGCTCAATGCCCCTCCCCAGACAGTTGTACCGTTTTAGCTACCTTGGGGAGAGGCTAGCTCAGGGGTCTAGAACAGGACTGGATTGTGGATGACAGGGGACTTCCCTTAGATCCATGGAGAGTGCCTGTCTGGCCCTTCCCTCTCCCTTGGAAAACCAAAGGAGGTTTGGCAGGGTGGGCAGAAGAGAGTATGAAGTCTAGAGCCAGGTAGCTTTAGAGCACCCCTGACCAGCACAGTGTCCAGCTGAGGGTGGGCATACCACAAGGGTTGGCTTCCCTCCTTGGGCAGTGGACAGGGTGCTGGACAGAGGCCCACAACTACTGAGCATGAGTACCTGCTGCCCCTGGCACTGTGCTGAGTGCCGGGGGCAGAGCAGATGTGGCCCCGAGGGCAGAGAACTCAGAGGGGAGACGTCCGTGTGGGAGGGCAGCGTCACACAGGAGAGCAGAGCTTCTGAAGGCTGGGGAGAAACTGGAATGGGAGAAGCCTGCGGAGGCTTCTAGGGGCCAGCTATGAGGTAAGCCAGGCCTGGCATGGACCTTCCTTCCTCTCTGGGCCGGCTTATTCATCCTTATGGCCAGCAGGCCCAGAACAAAGTGACCACATGGAATTTGACCCCAGGGAGTCTTCTAAGTATCCTGCTGGGTTTGTTCTTTTTTTTTTTGGCGGGATGCTGATGGGCTCTGGGCTTTGGCATGGGGCCCTGGCTCTCCTTGTGTTGGAAGCAGCCAGCCCTCCCCCCGGGCAGGAACCCTTCCCTCTCAGGTCCCTCCAGTGGCAGTCTGCAGCTTCTAGCTTTTGGTGCATTACTAAAGCCTGCTGCAGATTATGGTTTGAATTCTGGCTCTGCCACTATCTTGCAGGGTGACCTTGGGCAAGTTACCCCCTCCCAGAGCGGCAGTGTTCTTGTCTCTAAACTATTGTAAAGGTAACCCCGCCTCATGCTGAGGCAGTGGCTCAGCCCGTGTCCTGGGATGTGGAGGCACTTGGTAGGTCCCTCCCCTCATCCACAGTGTCTGTGCTGGGCACTGCGGGGGAGAGGACAGGCAAGGAGGGGACGGAATAACAGCTTAAAGGACAGCTTCACAAGAAGCTGAAGTCTGCCTTCTCCGACGCCATTGCCCAGACAACATGGAGCCCGCGTGCCCCTTAGTGCCAGCCCACAGAGCCTCAGAGATGAGGCTCATCTCTGCGAGTCTGCGCCTGACCTGTGGCCTTTTGCCGCCCACCAGGAGTGGCCTGTACCGTCATCCTCATGTACACGTTCTGCACCGATTGCTGGCTTATCGCTGTGCTCTACTTCACCTGGCTGGCGTTTGACTGGAACACGCCCAAGAAAGGTAAGGGCATGGGTCTCCCTGCCCCACTGCCTCGCCCTGGGAACCTTCCCTCTTACACAAACTGAGGTTCCTTATCGCGAATGTTGCCTCCTTTTACTTAATACCTATTATGCGAAACACTTCGGGCTAGACCAGGGAGTGGTTGGGGTAGGGGATCTAAAACCACTGCTAGGGGCACCGTCCTGGTCCTCACCGGAGCTCACCCTCAGCCAAGGGTTTGTCTAACGTGAGGGAACGAACGTGGGCAGGGGCCCAGTGGGAAGGAGGAGAAGATGCTGCCTGGGGAGACAGTCACCCACCTCAGGGTTCCATGCTGCCTCTGTCTTGTCTTCGTACCCAAACGTCACCCTCCCCCATTCCCACTCCTTCCCAACACTGTATTTTGTTCTCTGGAAGGTGGCAGGAGATCAGAGTGGGTCCGAAACTGGGCTGTGTGGCGCTACTTTCGAGACTACTTTCCCATTCAGGTAAAGCTTTGTGGGTATTATCTTGGGAGGGTGGGAATGGCTGGGAGATCCGAATTCGAGCTTAACCTGCCCAACCACAGTGACCACCCATGCTGAGTTGAACCATGTGGCGTCTTCCACTCTGAGCATCTGTTTATACTTTCCCAGTTTATGCAGGATTTGAGCAATTTATGGCACATATCATGCCATACCAAGCAAACAGAAAAATCAGACTTGGGGGGAAACACACTAGTATTTCAGCCATAAGGGTTAACACAAAGTGTGGTGGTTGAGTTTCATCATTAGTTCTGAGCTTCCTGGCAGCCAAGGCAAAAGGGGAAACATGATAGTTGCTGGTTCTTGTTTTGGGAAAGGAAGAAGCAAGAAGCTTACTATCTCCTTGGGGAAATAAGACTTCATCTAGCATTTGAATCTAAACGATGTTTCAGACACTGAGGTCCTGAGCGATCCGAGGAGTGGGTGCAGCAGCAGATGTTTTGGCCGCTGTGTGTCTGCCTTTCAGTGAATGTTAAAGGCAGAACTTAAAATGTGAGGGCATTTATCAAGAGAAATACTTAATTAAGTAGCCTCAGTTCATCTGGCCTGAACCCAGAATTTCACTGAACCAAGTATAACAGTCAGTGTGAGGGGCTTCCTTTCCTTCGGAAGCTCTTACAGAAATAACACCACTCTCCACCAGTTGCAGGTGGGTCACTGGTGGTCATGGCCGTGGGAATTAAGGCTCAGGAAATTTGATGTGCAGCAAAAGAAGGGTGGGACCTTAGTTGCTGAAGTGCTTGGGGAAGGCGTCTGGAGGAGGTGCTCCTGGAACTCCACCCTCAAGACGGCAGCACCGAAGAGGCAGGGAAGCAGTGGGAGCACAGGCACCTGAGTGTGCGGAGAAGCCTCTGGACAGGGAGGGTCTCCGTTTATTGGGAGACTGCTAGGAGCCAGCAGTTTCCGCAAGGAGTCTCCTGTAAGGGGTACTAACTTTACCCCGTTTGTTTGTTTTTTCCCCCAATGATAAGACAAAGTTTATTTAGAAAGTTATAGAGGTAGTAGAAATGAACCAGTGGGGCTGCCGAGGCTCAGAAAACAAGTTTCAGAGGCAGAAGAAGGGCCTTTGGGGTTTAGGGGAGAGAAAGGCAAAGGTGATGCACCTGGTGGGAAGAGGAGCAGGAGGGGCGAACACAGGTGTGTTCCCCAGAGGGAGAGCGCCAACTGTATCCCTTTCGGACAAAAGAGGAAAGGGCAGGTCAGACTGGCAGAGCTGACTGAGGCTAGTGGTGGGTAGATTCCAAATGCTGTCTGGCCTCAAAGCCTGGGCCCTTCCCACCACAGGGCTCTGCCTCTCCGTGCAGCAGAGCCTTGGGAAATAAGCTTGGACAGGCACTCAGGCTTCCTGCTGCTGACTTGGAGGATGGAGGCAGGAAGAGCCCGGCCTGCCCCTGGGTGAGGCACCGTCCCTTCCAGGGTTCAGTCTCCTTGTATGCAACAAGTTTAGACCAAGCTGGTCTCTGGGTTTCCATTCTGATGCACCATCAGCCGCTCAGGGACCTACACACCGGTCTTCTGAGTGCCCACCATCCCTTTTCTCTGGGCCAACCTCCAAGTCCTGATGGAATAAATGGTGGCATGATCTGGCTTTAGTCTCATCTCTATCCCCCTGCCTGTGGTCTGCAAGCTAGCTTGGCAAGGCAGAGGCATCTGGATCCCTGTACATTTGGGTGACACTTGTGGATTGTGGATAATTCTGTCAGAATCCTGCAGGGGAAAGACCTGTCTGGCCAGCTCAGCCAGCACCCCAGCCCCGGCACACCCTAGCTGCTGAGGGAACCCAGCAGAAAGCAGTGGGGTTTCAGAGTGGTGGCAGCCTGTGAGTGTGAAAGTGTGCATGACACAGGGTGGTGTATGTTTGCTGTTCTGAGTCAGTGACTGAGACATCCTGGCGTGCTGCCTGGGGGAGGTGGCTGGGTGACCCCCCCATTCCTTCACTGCACCCAGTATAGTGGAGCGCCCACAGAGCCAGCTTCTTCTGCCCACCCCAGCCTGAGACCATGTTTTCCAGAACCTTCAGGGTCAGGGTTCTCACTCCTCCCTTCTGCTGACCCCATCTCTCCCTCTGGAGGAATTCAGGGCTGTTGTTGCGGGGAGGATGTTGCATCATAGGACCCAACCCTCTCATTCTGGAGGTGAGGAAACCGTCCCAAAGAAGGGCAGGGACCAATACAGGTTGCACAGTGAGTCCGTGCCAGCGCTGGTACTGGAATCCAGGCTCGAGGTTCTTTCCCCCTGAATTCCTATCGCCCATTTCTCTGGGGGAGGCTCAGTCCCAGGTTTCCCCATCAGACTGAGCCCCGCCTCTCTCTGCTGTGCTGTTGGAGACCTGGCTTGAGTTCTTGCTCTGTCACTCTGTTCCCTGAGCATCAGTCACTGCTCCCTGTGCAGGGCTGGACATGGGGACACAGGACAGTCAGCCCTGGTTGCTGCCCTCACAGGAGCTCACTATCTAATGGATCCTGCTAGACTCTGTCACTCTCTGCCCATGGGACCACAGGTGCACTTTATCAGGCTCTCCGAACCCTGTTAGTCTCATGTGCAAAGTGGAGCTGTGCCTATGATAGAAAGTGGTGAACCATGGTTCATTGTCAGGAACTGTGGACTCTGTTCCCTCTACTGGGGCCCTCTCCTCAGGGGCCAGGCCCCAGTGCTCAGAGTGGCCTACCCCACAGGGGCCTCCTCAAGTCCGACAGCCCCCTTATCCCAGAAGACAGTGAGCCGGTGGCTGCGGTCAGACTGGAACAGGCAGAGGTCCTGCCTCACTGATCTTTGCCCATCTGTAAGAACCAAAGCAAAATGCAGTGTCCCTTATCACACCTCTGTTCCAAACAGTCAGCTGGAAGTTAGAAACGAGACAGGTTTGGGTTGGCTCTGGGAGGCCCCTGGGCATGAGGACCGAAGCCACACCGGGCTTCCAGTGGGCTAGAACACTGAGTCTCAACCTGGCCTTTGCTCTTGCCTGCTGGTGACCTTGTCCAGGCTCCTCTTCTGCCATGAGGGCTGACGCTCTGTGGAGAGCTGTGTTTGACCCTCCTGTCTCACCCCCTGTTCCCAGCCTCTTGCCAGTGGTTGTGTAATGATCCTTAGCTGTACCCACAACCCGCAGCTGCCTGCCCCTGTGTTAGCAGCAACCACCTGGACTGCTGGCCTTCCCCAGCAGTGTCTGGGTCTAGGAAGGATTTTTGGAGAGGACACTATGAAAGACTCTGAGCTTAGAGTCCTTTGTTTGTCTGTCTGCATCAATTCATGACAGGCCTACTGAGGCCCAGAGCAAAGGGGCTGCCCCAAGTTCACAAAGCCAGTCAGTGTCAGGGCTGGCACAGGAACCCAGGCTGTTCGCTTCAGGACACCCCCGCATCCCTGCCACCGGGCCCTGCTGTGTGAGCCCTGCGAGTCTCTGCTCTGCTTCGGAGTTTCCCTCTCTGTGGTGCCAGGGTGGCGCACGCCTATCTGAGTACCTTCCCTGTCCTGAGAGGCAGAGTGTGAGGAGTGACTTGCCAGGAATGTGTCCCAGGCTCACATGAGCCAGTAGGCCTGGCCTGGCCACCCCTTTGGACTGAGACTTCATTCTGGGAAACCCGGCTCACAAGCGCAGGCTTGTCAACAGAGCCTTTATTAGAGGCGTCCTTCCTCCTCTCTCCAGGTTGGACACTCGGTCCAGCCCTGAGGGGAGAAGAGTGTGGGACAAAGACAGGTTACATCTGTGTCAGACGCCTGCATGCTTCTTGGCACCACACCGACACCAAGGGCCGTCAGTTTGCACCATGTGCCAAGGCACCTCATTTAACCAAATGTCCCACCAGACAGAGGCTCGGAGGAGGGGAGAAGTGATTTAAAGAGCCAGCAGGGCTTCCACTAGATGACACATGGACAACCCAGGCCCTGGGAAAAGTGCAGCTGGGTGTCCTCACGAGGGGTGGAGAGTGTTTCCCTGGGCTCCCCACGAAAGCAGCAGCTCTGTCCTCTGGGCCTCAGTGTCCACCTCGTCATGGAAGGAACGGCCTGGAGAAGGGTGCCTCCAGTCCACTCTGTGCTTCGGGCTCCCTGGCCCAGCCACATGATCAGGATCAAGTTTCCAGCACAGTACTGGCTGCTTGAGCTCTTACCTCAGTGCCTGCCTTTTCCGTGGAAACTGGCACAGGTGCTTTTTCCTTTCTGGCTCTGCTGAGCATTAACATGGTGGGCAGCCCTGCTCTTCAGGGGGCAAAGTCTCAGAACGACCACCTTGCAAAGCTCAACAAGCTGGGGTCCCGTGGGACCCTCCCACTGCCCCCACCCCATGAGCCACAGATCAAGCTGCTGCCGCTCCCCATTTACATAGCTGTCTGCTAAGAGTTGGTTTGGTTTTTGAGCAGCTGTAATCTGCCTGCCAAAGACAAAGTGGGAGAAAGAGTGAGAATATCTCCAGCAACAGAGAGTGGTGCTCAGCAGGGCTCGCTCACCCTTGCACATGCCAGCAGTCACAGAGCGGCCCCTGCTTCTATCACCTCCGGCTTCCGTGGGGTCGCAGTGTCCCCAGGCCATCCCCCACCACCCCTCACCCCCAGCTGAGCACAGTGTCCTTCCCTCAGCCAGGCGGTTCCCACGCCTGGGCTCACCGAGAACTCGGGCTCTTCAGGTCATGCCGATGGCCAGTGGTTCTGGCACCAGTGTGTGGAAGTGGGCACTTTCAAATTCTGCAGGCAGCTGCACCGACAGCTCCTCTTTAGAGAGTCAGAGAAGCCCACAGGACCAAACTATTCACATCCCTGGACCTAGGAACTGTATTTCTAGAAGTTCGTCTCAAGAAAATAATCAGTTACATGGACAAAACAAAGTGTTCATGGAGGCATTATTTCTGAGGGAAATTTTGGAAGCTTCTTGAAGGTCCAGCAGTCAGGATTTGATTACAGCTCCATTACCTGTAGCACAGCCGTGTGAGAGAATGACACAGCCATGAGAAGACATGTGGCCAAGGACTTCGATAAGGAAAAATAGATAGGATATGATAATGCTTGGTAGGAAATTACATAGAAATGGTGTCACCCACATGACCTCTATTTTGTGTGTGTATTTGAATAGAAAAAGGACTCAGTACATAGGAGGGTTTAGCTGGATGATGGTATGATAGGTGCTTTTGACTTCCTTATCTTTTTCTTTTCTTTTTTTTTTGAATTTTCTGTATTTTGAAAATTCTCTGTGATTATTCATTATTTTTCTAATCAGAAAAAAACGTGATGTTTTTCTGAACAAAATACCGGCACTCTCCACCCCTCTCAGCACTCTCGCTCTGTCCTGTATGTTGCGATGTGCAGCAGGTGCCTCTTGGGCTCAGGGTTCAGGGAAGGAAACTTTGTACCAGCCACCCACCCTCTAACCCTAACACCAGGACGGGGATGGGCTCCAAGGGAGCCAATCATTCTTCAGAGCGTTCCCGGACAGCTTAGTTGAAAGTACCACAGGTCAGCTGCCCAGTTGCACAGCTGACTCCCTCCCCCGTCACTGGCACCAGGGCTGTTGCTTGCCCTTGTCCTTCCTGTATCAGAGCCTGAGCTGAACCTGGCTGCCTGGAAGGAAGTTTCCATTCCAGCTAGCTGCACCATCCCTTCTCTGGCCAGACTAAGGGACTTGGACTCAATCCCAATGGGAACTAGAGAGTTACGGGGATGGCACTGGGTTTTAGAATAGTCACTCCGGCTGCAGTGAGGAGGACAGGCCCAGAGCGGGAGAAGACAGGAGGCTGGCAGAGTGCAAATAAGAGGACCTGGTGTGTTTGGCTGAAGACATAGGGGGTCAAGGGAGAAAGTTTCCCACCCCCTTCCCAGGGACGCGCAGTCCAGATGGCAACTGGCGAGCAGGCAGCGCTGTGGCCCCAGTGATGAAAGTCTGAGGTCAGGTGTGGAGAGTCGCTCCAGCCTTGAGGCCCGGAGTCCCAGGGGGTATGGCCAACCCAGCCTCTCCACCGTCTGGGTGTGCCCCAGACCCCTCTCCTAGCCAATTTCTTCTCAACTGAGTGTTCTCCTTGCAGCTGGTGAAGACTCACAACCTGCTGACCACCAGGAACTACATCCTGGGATACCATCCCCATGGCATCATGGGCCTGGGTGCCTTCTGCAACTTCAGCACAGAGGCCACGGAAGTGAGCAAGAAGTTCCCTGGCATAAGGCCCTACCTGGCCACGCTGGCCGGCAACTTCCGGATGCCAGTGCTGAGGGAGTACCTGATGTCTGGAGGTGAGAATCCATCTCTGCTTATCCTCACTGGGCTCCACGGCCAAGGCCCGGGCCTCCCCACTGAGCAAGGTGACAGACTCACCTGGAAACCAGTGCACCACACCGTTCTTGCGCCGAGAGGGGCTCTTGCTGTAGGCGCGGGGTCAGGGCGGAGCAGGAGAGCTGTTCATGAGGTCTTTGGGAATCACCTTGGATAGCATCTTCCCCAGGAAGCCTTCTCTGGCTCCTTTTCTGGGTGCCCCAGCCCCTGTACTGTCCTCTGAACAACCCGATCGTTGTCTATGGCTCTGTCATTATCCCCCGGCCTGTGACCCCCAGCAGCCTGATTCACGGGGCTTCCCAGCACCTGGCGCCAGCCTGGCAGAGTCAAGACCTCAGACAGTATTTGCCAAATGACTAAGTTACCCAAACAGCTTTGTGTCATTATCCCCATTTTTCAGATAAGTAAGCCGAGGCTCGGAAAGAGGACAGATTATGTAGGGCCATGCAACTTCTAAGTGGCTGGGTTAGTCTGGGGCCCAAGTCCAGGGCTCTCTGTGTGTCTTCGTGGCTGTGCAGGGTAGGCCATGCTCGCACGGGCGGCCTTGACTGTGTGTCCCCTCCACCCCCCAGGCATCTGCCCTGTGAACCGGGACACCATAGACTACTTGCTGTCAAAGAATGGGACTGGCAATGCCGTCATCATCGTCGTGGGGGGTGCAGCCGAGTCCCTGAGCTCCAGGCCAGGCAAGAATGCCGTCACCCTGCGCAGCCGCAAGGGCTTTGTGAAACTGGCGCTGCGACACGGGTAGGTACCTCCCCGCACGCACACATGTGCACACACACACACACTCGCCTGAGGCCTTGCCCGGAGGCAGGGCCCAGACCCCAGGAAGGCACAGACGAGAGTTCACCGTCCTGCGTGGGGCAGGGGAGGTTGGAAAGCCAAGTTTGGTGCCCGATTGGGACAAAGGAGCAGCCTGTGTGCCCTGAGCCCTCACAGGTGGGCTGCGAGGCCGGGCTCAGATGTGGGACAGTGCCCTGGGGCCAGAAACGTGTCATGCTGCCAGGAGAACAAGAGACCAGAAGTGAGGCTGGCATGCCCGGAAACCTCAGGGAAGTCTTCCTGGAGGGCCAGTACTAAGGACAGGTGGGGAAGAGCTGGGCAGCTTGGATTTCCTAGAAAACCAGAGGCACATTCTGTGCTGCCACCTGTTCAGCCCATTCCAAATGGCAAAGCAATGCGTGCACTTCTAAGTCCCCCTTGATTCCCAGCAGTCCTGCAGGTGCCAACAGCCCTGTTTCCCACGGGGGAAAACCGAGTGGGGCTGAGTGGCTCAGGAGGGGTCACACTGTAAAAGGAAGAGCAAGCTTTTTGGACCCCAGGTCCAGTGTTTTCTTTCCATATCCGGGCTCCAGGCCACCCCCAAAGGACAGCCTTGGGGTGACAGACCTCCAGCAACAAGAACATGCTGAAGTGGGAGAGGCAGCTGCCTGCAGTCATACACAAGTTGGGATGGCACTAGCCATGTAGGTCCCGCCCAGCCCTCCTCTCTGCCTCCTCAGAACCTCCTCTCAGGCTCCAGAAGAGGCTGCTCTTCAGGGCCCAGCCCTGTGCCAGGCACTGGGGACACAGTCAGACCCCGTTCTTGCATTCAGGGTAGGGGGAAGTGGGGAGGGACGGACAGAGACAACCCAGCACGCTGAAGGCTGTGGCGTGGGACTGAGAGAGGCCTGGGTTGGAGGTGGGGTGGGGAGAGCTCCCCAGCAGAGGCAGGCCCTGCAGGGTGAGAGAGAGCAGGCGTTCAGGGGCAGGGCTTCACCCTCCCCCTTGCCTAGTGGTCCCAGAGCCCTGACATGCTCCCCAGTCACTAACTGGGGGCAGGGGACCCTTCTAAACCTGAGAGTGAGGGGACACATGGTGTGGGGCCCCCGGGGGTGTTCCGCTACAGCCCTGAGGGAGGGGATCTTGGCTGGGGCTCAGGCCTCTAGGGCTGACAGGAGGAACTGAAGCCAGCGACTGGGGTATGACAGACCTCGGCCTGTTCCTTCCAGAGCTGACCTGGTCCCTACCTACTCCTTCGGAGAGAATGAGGTCTACAAGCAGGTGATCTTTGAGGAGGGCTCCTGGGGCCACTGGGTCCAGAAGAAGTTCCAGAAGTACATTGGCTTCGCCCCGTGCATCTTCCATGGCCGAGGCCTCTTCTCCTCTGACACCTGGGGACTGGTGCCCTACTCCAAGCCCATCACCACCGTCGGTGAGCCTCCCTCCCTGAAGACCCTGAACTTGGGGTGCCACAGCTGGTTAGTGGTAGGGTTAGGATTCCAGTCCAGGCCCCCTGGCTCTAATGTCCGTGCTGTAGACCACGAGGGCGTGCTGGGTGCTGCCGTGTGGGAGCTGGTGGCGAAGGGGCGGGCAGGGTAACGGGGTGTGTGGTTTCATCACTGTGAGCCAAGCTGAGCTGGGTGAGAAAACAAGACCCAACAAACAGTCCTGCGTTTGCAGCGCCCAGGAGTCTGTCAGGAAGATCCTGTTACAGCAAAGGTCAATGGGGGTATGAGCAGGATGTGGGGGATGCTCTGGGGGGTCACAGAGGACCCCAGGGAGGAGGTGACTCATACTGTTAGCTAAATAGGAATTATCCAGCAAAAGAGGTGGAGAGGGGTAGAGTGTCAGAAACAATGGCCTAAGTGAAGTTCCTACTACAGCGAGACTGTAGATTTTTGAGGAACAGAAAGAAAAAAATCAATGTGACTGGTGCATAGTCCTGTGAAAAGTGTAGCAAAAATGCTGCATTTAGCCTCAGTGTTGTTGTTTTGGGTTTATCTGGGACCATCTAGAGGATTCCAAAGAATCATCTCTTGTAGGGGTGTGTGTGTGTGTGCGTGTGTGCACGCGCTAATGGTTCACAAGCTGGAGACCACACCAGAGCAAGTGGGCCACAAGCCGTGGACTTCAGGGGCAAAGCTAACGTAGATACTTTGAATTTCAGAGCCAGGTGTTCTGTTTGGTACTTTACAGAAGGAACGACTTCCTGCATCTTAGGTCTCATGACCCAGAGTCACCCTGGACTCTCCTTATCCACAAATCCCATACCAGGCCTGGTCTCTGTGCGGCAGCAGATGTGTTTGGGCCCAGGGACTGCCGGGCAGGGGAAGGGCCTGTGGGCATTGTAGAAGGATGGGCTCTTCCCCTTCAGAATGGAAGGCTGCTTGAGGGTTTGGAGAGGGAAGGTTCAGATTTGTATTTCAAAGTGGTCCTTGTGGATTAGGAAGGGCAACAGTGGAAGCCCCAAGACAGGTCCAGAGGCTTTTGCGGTAGCTGGTGGCTGGAATCAAGAGAAGGGCCATGGAGATGGAAGGAGAACTTGAGAGAAACTTCAGGAATGTCTCTGACAGGACGTGGTGATGAGCTGGGCGTGGAGAGGAAACAGCATTAGGAAATGAAACAGTGCGCAGATGTCTGAATGTTGGTTTCCTCCTCCCTCTTCTGCCCTTGTCACACTTCTCAAAGCAAATCACGATTTTACAGAATCCATAGCAAAGGCCCCTGAGGAAGGATCCCCTGTGATAGGTGAGGAAACTGAGGCTCAGAGAAGCAAGGAGACTTGCCCAGGGCAGGGCAGAAGCAGAGCCATTCCCTGGTCCCCCAGCTCTCGAAGGAGCTCCCAGCTGGGTGCAGTGGGTGCAGCCAGGGTTCATCCCACTCCCTGCCTAGTGGCTCTGTGGCCTTGGGCAGGTCCCTTGCCGTGCCACTGGGCCTCAGTCTTATCATCTGTAGAAGGGACAACACGAGGCAGAACATGTTCAGCACAGTTACAGTCCTGGGCACGTGGTCGGCACCTCGCACTGGGCTGCTGCCGTCCACATCCTGGTAAATACCCGGGGAGGGTGGGCCGAGTGGCACCGACTAACCGGAGGCCTCTGCTCCATCCCTGCAGTGGGCGAGCCCATCACCATTCCCAAGCTGGAGCACCCCACCCAGCAGGACATCGACCTGTACCACGCCATGTACATGGAGGCCCTGGTGAAGCTCTTCGACAAGCACAAGACCAGCTTTGGCCTCCCGGAGACCGAGGTCCTGGAGGTGAACTGAGCCAGCCCGCGGGCCAGCGGCCGAGGAGCCGGCTGCACCTCGCATTCTACCAAGTTCTCCAGTGCTTTTTGTTCTGTAAATTTGGAAGTGTCATGGGTGTCTGTGGGTTATTTAAAAGAAATTATAATAATTTTGTTAAACCATTACATACTAGGTCTTTTTTAAGAAGGAAAAAGTGACTGTTTCAAGCTCTTTCACTTCCATTTGGTCCTGTTTTAGGTGGTGGCTAAGACCTCTTGGCCTCTAGGGTTTCTCAACCACCCCCTCTATGCCCTTCCCTGAAATTACAGAGAAAGCTCAGTCCTGCTAGACTGGGGAGGAAGGACAGCCCTTAGAGACTCAGGCCAGTGCGATCATTTGCTCGTTGCCATGGGAGGACGAGGAGCGGAAGCCGCTTGGAACACAAACACCTCTGTTCCAAGCTACCTTGACTCGACTGCAGGGCTAGTCCCTCTTGCCGCAGGGGAGCCTCAAAGGGCACAATTGTCCCTTTCTGGAAGAGTGCATTGATGAGCATCTGGACTGTTGCAGCCTGACCCTCCTTTCTGCCACTTCCCACACCCCCAGTCTTTCGCAGCTGAGCCTGGACTGGCCTTCGGGGAGATGACGGGGGTGGTGATGATCCTGTGTTGGGGAACAGTGCTGTTCCAGACACACTGTCTCTTGGATTATCCAGCTACCATGTCCTGGTTGGAGTGATTGCTTTTCCACAGGGGGCTGATGACGTGGACCCAGCACAGAGCCAGCCTTGGCCTGAATCCTGTACTTTGCAGCGGCCTCCATTTGCTTAACCCACACCTCCGAGAGTGGGTGTGAGGAAGGGGTCCCTCTTCCTGTTCACAGAGGAGCCAGGACCTCTGAGCATCAGACTGGTTTCAGGATAGAAGGCCCCCAAACCCAAGCCTCACATCTATGTGCCTTTTTGAGAGGAGGGAGGAAACTCAGCCCCTTCTGTATGTGTTCTGTGTTCTCTTGATGAGATCATTGTACCATGTCAGACTTTTGTATATTCCTAAACAAATAAATAAAAATGAGTGTCCTCTGAGTTCTTGCTGGGGCTACATCTGCATCTTGCCACTGACACTTGGGGAGACCACGGCCCCCAGTCAGGCTACCTGCCAAGCCTTCTCCCCCTTCCTCCTTTGGCTGACGTGGCCCTGTGTGGGGTATTATCTATTGCTGTGTAACAAATTATTCCAACACTTAGTGGTTTCAAACAACACTGTTCACAACTTCTGAGAATGTGTAGTCGAGGTCTGGCTTAGCTGGGCCCTCTGCTTTGAGGGTCTCGCACAAGGCTGCAGCCTCTCGAGGCTTAACTGGGGGAGGATCCACTTGAAGGTCATTCATGCACTCACAGGCAGGATTCACTTCCTCACTGGCTGGTGACCAAGGCCACTCTCAGTTCCTTGCCATGTGGGCCTTTCCACGGAACATCTCACAGCACAGCAGCTGGCTCATCAAGGACAGGAAACAAGATGAGCCAAAAAACAGTATAGACAGAAGTCACAGTCTTTTATGACCTAATTTGGAAGTGATCACCTGTCACCTTTGCCATATTCTCTTCATCAGGTACAGACCATCAGGTCCAGGTCACACTCAAGAGAATTACAGGTGGAATGACTACCAGGAGGCAGGGGTCCTTGGAGCCCCTTGCAGCCGCCTACCACATGTGCAAAAGGGCTGCTGTCCAGCTGTAAGGTCCTGGAGAGGCTGAGCTGGAAAGTTCCTTGTGGATCACTCAAACCGTGTTCCTTGTGCCTGGCCTAAGTTATACCATGAAGAGGGGACCTGGCCTGCTGTCCCTGTAGTGCTTTCGTACCACACCTACGTCCTACAGCTCTGTTCTGATTCCATTCAGTTCAATGACTACTAAGCACCTGGGAACCCTTCCCAGCTGAGCCTAAGGGACCTCATTCCAACTTTCCCACTGTATAAAGGCCTATCCTTGCCATTCATCTACTGCAGGGACTGCTGTTCTGTTTTAGAAGCTGTGAGTGGGCTCCTGAGGAGCTGAAACAAACATTGGAAACTACTGTGGGTAGGGTGGTCAGACCTGTGACAGAGATGCCCCTAGCCCAACCTGGGGGGCCTCATTGAACTGGAACCCTGATACCTGAGCTGGGACACAAAAGGTGACTGGAAATTTGCCAGGAAGGAGCTGAAGAAGGGTAGAGCAGAAAGTGCAGGTGGAGGAGATAGTGCTGCTGATTTGAACGGCAGAGGTGGCAGTAGAGAGGTGTGCAGAGGTCTGCAGTGAGGTTTCGCTGGGAGGGGTGGGAGCTGGCTCTTCCTGAGGCCCTCCAGGGCAGGAGGGCAGGGCAGGGAAAGGAGATGCCTTGAAGGGGCCCATAGAGGCTGAATTCTGTAGCACCATGCCGGCCTCAGGCCCCAGAGCTCCGGTCAGAGGACAGAAGATTGAACAGTTGTGCACTTGGGAAGTCCAACCATCTCCGCCTAAGGAAACGACAATAACCAGGTCCCAAATGTGGGAGGAGTCACCTCACCTAGCGTGTGATGTATGTCTAGCAGCAACCTGTGCAGACCAGAGGCCAGCTCTGCTCTAAGTTATGTGTGGAGAAATCTAGGTAAATTCTGTGAACTTTGCCTTGGGTTGGGAGTTGTTACCTTGGGAGAGAGAACTGGGATTTCTTTTCCAGAAGACCTGCCTTTGAACAGTGAGAGTGCGGCTGCCTTCTCAGCCTGAAGGTTAGTTCCATGATTCTGTTTGTGGTTCCCAGTTATGGCCACTAGGGGGAAGTAAAGATGGTTTTGAGGCAAATCCCACACAGCCTCCTAAGCTTTCTGTTCACATTTTGACACTTACTCAGTTCGTACCCTGAGCTAGAAGCTAGAGATAATAAAATCACAGACTCACAGGAGCTCAGAGCTAGACAGGAATTTAGCAACTAGAGCAATTTAGAATCTAGAGCAACTTCTCTTCATCTGGGAAACTTGACACAGAAAGGCAAGCAACTTGCCTCTAATCACACAGCAAATCAACCTTTACCGCAGGCCTCCTCTTGACAGGGAGTGAGGGGCTTCCACATTGAAGGTCCCTGTTCTCAGGTGTTTGTAGTGTAATAAGGGGGGCAGTAAGGTAAAGCACCCATCTTCCTAAAAACCATTGCCTTTTTAAATATTCCTTACCTAGGTTCTCAATGTCACTACTACCCACCCTTCAGCAAAACCTAGTCTTTTTATTTATTGATTTATTTTTAATTTTATTTTTTAATTATAATTTACATTCAATATTGTTTTGTATTAGTTTCAGGAGTAGAGCACAGTGGTATTACAATCATATACTTACAAAGTGTTTCCCCCAATAGTTCTAGTACCCACCTGGCACCATAGTTACTGCAATATTATTAACTGTATTTCCTATGCTGCACTTTACATCCCCATGACTATTCTGTGACTGCTGATTAGCACTTCTTTTTTGTTTTGTTTTGTTTTCTTTTTATTTTTTAAAATGTTTATTTTTTGAGAGAGAAGAGGGAAACAAGAGGAGAAAGAGGGAGAGAAACATCAATGTGTGGTTGCCTCTCATGCATCCCCTACTGGGGACCTAGACCACAACACAGGCATATGCCCTGACTGGGAATCAAACCAGCAACCCTTTGGTTCACAGGCCAGCTCTCAATCCACTGAGCCACACCAGCCAGGGCTCTGATTAGCACTTCTTAATTCCTTCACCTTTTCTGCCCAGTCCCCCAAGCCCTCATCCCTCTGGCAGCCATCAGTCCATTTTCTGTATGTATGAACCTGTTTCTATTTTGTTCATTTGCTTTGTTCCTTAGACACCACACAGAAGTGAAATAATGTATTTGTCTTTCTTTTCTGACTTATTTCACTACATCCATCCATGTGGTTGCGGATAGTCAGATTTCATTCTTTTTTTCTCCAGCCATTCAGTATTGATAGACTCCTCCTCTTCTTTCCTTCCCCCACTGCCTGCTGATGCTACAATTGGAATTTTTGTCTCAGACCATTCCCTCCTTTCTCATCCCTTATAATACATACTTATGACTGTGGGGTCCAGCCTGTGCCACTGCCATTACGAGCTGCGTTAATATGTCACTTAACCTCTCTGAGCCTCAGCTTCCTCATCTATACAATGGGAATAACCTATATTCCTGAATAAATAGGAGAATATGTATCTAAAAATATGACTTATTTATAAATGAGTAGTTTTCATCCCAGGGCTTGGCCTCTAATCTCTCAACAGGACATGGAGATGTGCTGTCACCATCGTCATTATCACACCGTAATTGGGTCTCCCTGACCTAGTGCACTGAGCTCCCTGTTTCCAGGCTGCTCGCCAGCTCACTGCTCCTGCAGCAGAGTGGCCAGCCTGCCTTCTGTTTCCAACATAGAAGTTTTATTGAGATATACCTCACATATCATACAGTATACTCTTTTTAAATGGGTAATTCAGTAGGTTGTAACATATTTACAAGGTTGTGCATCCATCACCCATCTCTACTTCCAGAACAATTTTATTATCCCCAAAGGAAACCCCATGCCCATTAGCAGTTGCTCTTTATTACCGCTGCCCCCTCCGCTACTCATTTCATATAAATGAAATTATACAACATGTGGACTTCCGTGTCTGGCTTTTTTCACTTAGCATGTTTTTGAGGTTCATCCACGGTGTGGCATGGATCATGAGTCAAATGTATCATTGGTTCTTTGAAGCACAGACTTTTTTAATTTTGATGTAATCAAGTTATCTAGTTTTTTCTTTTTTTTTATAGTGTGTGTGTGTTGTATCTAAGAAGCCATAGCCTAATCCAAAGTCACAAAGAATTGCTCCTATGTTTTCTTCTAAATGGATTGAGAGTTTTCAGCTGTTACATTGGGATCTCTGGACTCTTCTGAGTCAATTGTTGTATATGGTGGAGGATTGGAACTTTGTGTTTTTTTTGCATGTGGGTATCCAGTTATCTCAGCACCATTCATTAAAAAGGGTATACTTTCTTCATTGGATTGTCTTGGTACTTTATCAAAAATCAACTGACCATCAATTTAAGTGTTTATTTCTGGATTCTCAGTTTTATTCCACTGATTTATATTTCTATACAACACTTTACTCCAGTACCACACTTCCTTGGTTAGCCTTGAAATTAATTTAGGAATTGAGAAGAGTGAGTCATAACTTTATTCTTTTTTGAAATTGTTTTTGTTATTCTGTGTCCCTTGCATTTATATATGAATTTTAGGATCCACTTAATACCTGCAAAATAAATGGCAGCTGGGATTTTAATAGGGATTGCGTTTGAATCTAAAGATCAATTTGGTGACTATTGTCTTTCCATTTGTTGGGGTTTTCTTTCATTTCTTTCAACAGTGTTTTGTAGTTTTCAATGTACAAGTTTGCACTTCTGTTTGTTTTTTTCTAAGCATTTTATTCTTTTTAATGTTATTGTAAATGGAATCATTTCTTAATTTCATTTTCAGATTGCCATGTTAGTAGATAGAAATACAGTCAGTTTTTGCATACTGACTGATCTTGCATCTTGCAGGCTCGTGGAACTAGTTGATTCATTCTAATTGTCTCTTTGTGGATTATGTAGTGCTTTCTGTATACGAAAGCATGTCATGTGTACATCTAAATAGTCCTGCTTCTTCCCATCTATATGACTTTGCTTCTTTTTATTGCCTAATTGCCCCGGGTTGAACTTCCAGTACGATGTTGAACAGAACAGGTGAAGGCACACATCCTTGTCTTGTTACTGATCTTAAGTGGGGAAAGCTTTCTGGCTGCCACCATTCACTGTGTTAGCTGTGGGGGTTTGGTCAACCTTTATTAGGTTGGGGACATTTTCTTGCATTCTTAGTTCTTTAAGCATTCTTACCATGAAGCGCTGTTAGATTAGATTTTGTCAGATATTTTTTCTGCATCTACTGAGATAGTCATGTTTTCTGTTCCTTATTCTATTAATACGGTGTATTATGTTAACGAATTTGTGTATGCTAAACCAACCCTGCATTCTTAGTAAAATCTCATGCTGTATAATCCTTTTCATATATTTGGATTGGCTC